AGTTGGTGAAGTTTTGGATAAGTGGGAGTTAGTTAGCTTTGAGCCAAAGAGTATCAGCAATCTCAGTGATAAAAACATGGAAGTGGTTGGAATGTGTCGAGGTGCTTAGAGCAAGTCTGGTCGTTGAAGTGTGATGGGCACAAGTCATTCATTTAGGGTCATGCATGGCAACAAATGGCAGGTATGGGGTCGGGGTAATCTACCAGACCAAGCTGCCTCGGCTGAGATTAGGCAGTGCTTGAGATGTTGTGATAGGGGTAAACGAGTGGAGGTTTGTTGAGAAGTATTTCAGGCAGGTAACATACCTGGAATTAGCTAATCTTGTTTAGTTTTAGTTCCAATGTATGCCATTACACATTGGACAATCTGTGTCAACTGTTATGCAACTATGAATTTCCTTTTTTCCTGAACTTCTCAGTTACATGTGTGTTTTTAGGTCAGGAACAGTGGTCCAACTACCTTTTAATACCACATATTACAAGGTTTACACCATGACTTGTTTTCCGTTGAAGGTCATTGTCTTGGACTCATTGTGTTTTGATGTGTGTCATTGACAGCGCATTGAGCGAGAGATGCAACAGAAGCTTGAAGAGAAAGAGGAGAACACCGAAGAGATGGCAAAGACATTTACCTCCCTGCAACAAGAGGTAGAAATCAAGACCAAAAAACTCAAGAAGGTAAGGTCAAACATCTGATGCTAGTAATGGCCAATTGCTACGTCCAAAATGAGCTTTCAGAACTGGGGCAACATCCGCTGTAAACGTGCGGTGTATTTTGGACCAATGACAACCCAAACTATCTCTTCTGTAGAAGGTGGAACTAGAAAGTTGTATAATGGCCAAGCCAGTTTGTTAATGCGCATATGAATTCTTGGGTAGGGGTTGATATCAACACCAAAATAACTCGGTGTAAGGCCGAACATCATTTTTTTATTCCTTAAAGATGGCTTTTTTGGGGTCCATGTCTTGTGATGTCTATAATCTCTTCTGGTGCACCAGTAGATTTATGGTTTGCAGTTCTAGGACGTCTCCATTCATGACAGTATTAATGCACTTTCACATTCCTTTTGACAGTTATTTGCTAAACTTCAAGCAACAAAGTGTGATATACAAGATCTCCAAGAAGAGCATGCACGAGAGAGACAAGAACTGGAACAGACTCAGAATGAACTGACCAGAGAACTCAAACTGAAGTAAGTCATCAAGACTGCCACTAATAGGGTCATGCATTTGGTGACAGACAAGGAAACACAGACTGTGTGGCGTCCTCTTGGGGAGTAGTGGAGAGAGGCAGGAATGAGCCAGTTTGGTATTTCATAAAGCCAGGGTCTTTCAGGAACAAAGCGTGCTGGTGAGACAGTGTATGGCTGCGCTCATAAGACAGACTATTGCGTCCGCTCGTAGCTGTTCCTGAATAGCCTCATACTGAGCGTGCACTGTTGGAATACCGAACTGGCTTATTGGAGCATACATGGGAACAAGTTGATCAGGGAACTCAAACTGATATACCAAAGACTTGCACAGATAGGATAGCAGAGTGGGTGATGGACATGATGGAGATACGGACTGCTAGCCATCTTTAGGATGGAAATCCTGCATCAGTGAAGTTTGCTTGAAGACCAGATGTACATTATCATATTTCACTTTTTTTACTCCCATAGGATGCTGATCATAGAGAACTTTATTCCACACGAAGAAAAGAATAAGATTCTCCATCGTGCTGAATTTGATGATGATACAGACCAGTGGATGCTGAAACCACTTGCAAGATCTGAAGGGTAAGTACCTTCTAGATTGTCCCATTGCTTCTTTTGTCACGTATGTTCATATTCCTCATTTTGTTGGTGCGCATGGGCACTGAATCCCACTATGGCCAGAAGCCAGTAAAATGGCTGTTGACTCGGGCAGGTGGACCCCAAAAGTAATTGATCATTATTAAGCTCAGATATTGCTGTTACCCCTCATTTCCATACCGGTTAGAATTTAAACACTCAAAAGTCCCTTTTGCTAACTTGCACTCTATAAAAATCCATTTTCTGCCCAATTTTTGCCCATTTTTGTCACGTGCCTCCAAAGTACCTCCAGAGTCAGAAGTTGGAAGTGAAGTCAACATTTCAGAGGGGATTTGTTCAGTTTTGTTGGGTTTTCCCTGACTTTTCTCTACTTGTGAATGGTGACAAATATGAACGCTCTCATGAGAAAGTATTATGCAGGAAGGAAACCATAAGAATAAGAACAGAACGTTTTTGTTTGTCCTTTTAGTTGCACAATTTGAAATCATTGTACGTATTAGTGCAAAGCAGTAAAAGTCAAATTGTACTCAAATTCTCTCGTGGGTGTACGTGTATGCCATGCCCAAAATCTGGACATCTCATTTTTGACAGCTGTCGGACTCAGTGCCGAAATTTGAATCCACATGAAAAACGAACTGCATTTCAGACAGATGGTTTTCAATCTTGAAGAAATGAACTGATGGATGTGAAGGATACATCCGTCTTCCAGACAGGATCACCAATGATCTGAGGGGAAAAGTGTGAAAATTGGGCACTAAGTAAGGTGAAAAAAGTGAATTCCAAAAAAAAGAAGTAATAAACTTTTTTGGTTCATAAAAGTTACTAGTCCTTCATGTGGCATCAAAGTTATTTGCAGGTAAACCTGGCAAAATTGTGAAAATGAGACACAAATTTTGGTTAAAAACGATAATTTTTTCATAATTATCCTTTGTCATATAATTGACATTTTCCACTTCATTGATTATTTACCGAAGATCTTTCTTGCTAGAAGCTATTAAATATTCTTGGCAATTTATTCACGCAGGAAGTCTTCAAGGGAAATGGCAGTACAAATCCCTCACATGGGTCACCAGCAATATGCGTCGTCTGCTAAAATAATTTTTCAGGCCAACGACCATAATGTCACTATTGCGCATACACGAATACACAAACTAAATGCACGCACAGTCTATGGGGCCAAACATACACGCTCTGAAGCTTGACCGCAGAAATAAATAAGGAAAAGAACAAGTAGGGCCACTAACTCATACTCAGTTTCATTTATTTGGACTGTTTTTTGACCAATCAGTGTCTGCCTGATTTCTTCACCCAGGCCGACCCAGATGGCAAAAAGACCAGTATCAGCTGTAGGCAATCGAAGACCCATCGCTGACTTTGCACGGATGGCAGCCCAAGTTGGCGGAAATCCTAGATACAAGGCAAGATACTGTGAACTGGGATACATTCCACTTGTAAAGATGTGGGTAATTTGGGCAGGATATAAGCGAGACATACTGTAGTCCAATATCAAAGAGGCAAACTGAGCATTAGGACATTCTTATTTTGGGGGAGGGAATGCCAAAATCATTGGCTGTGTAATTGAGAAACTGTCTTCAATAGTTTAATCAACAGACATAAACAACATAGGGACAACTTTTCCTGATCTATTCTGAAACGATATAGATTCAGTATCTGTGGACAGTTGCAGTTGCAGAGTGCCTATAACAATTATCAGAGCTGCAGTCAGATTTCACATTTCGATATCTCTTTGAAAGAGGCTGCCCTGCTGCCATGAATGAAGTCTGACTCAAAGCGTGTAAAGTCAGTATGTACACAAATGTCATCATGTTGTATAGGTGAAAAAAGTGTGGGTTTTTTGATAGTTTTTTGTGGGCTTGAAAGGGAAAATGGGTAACTATTCGAGTTTTCGAATGGAACTATCTGGTATTTTGAAACCTTGTCCTAAATTGCTTTGCATTTTTAGGCAGAGAATATATTGCAGGTTGAACTGGACATGCCAAACCGCACTACTAGGGACTATGAGGGCCCCAGCGTCGCTCCAAGGGTTCAAGCAGCACTAGATGCAGCATTACAAGATGAAGATGACCTTGATTTAGAAGTCCAGTGAGTCCATGGGACGGGGAGGGTAGAGAAAAGATTTGTAGGGATTACGGGGAAATGTAAGGAGACAAACTGTAAAGGTTGGAGCATGGCTACCAGGATACAAACATTGCTGAGGAAGCATCATAGATGAAGATGACCTTGCCTTATAAGTCCACTGAGGATATTAGTGTGGAGGGGTAGAGAAAAGGGGATATGGGGAGATGGAACGGGAACATTAGGATTTCCTTACCTGGAATAATGCTGGGTTCCTTTTCTGTCTCTAAAAAAATTTACAGGTTGTCAGGTGTAGCAGGTGAAAGGTGTCTTTTTGATGTTGCTTAAAACACGCCAACTTCTGTTTTTGTTTCAGACCATCTGTTTTTGCTGGAAAAGCAAAGACAAAACTAAAGAAAGAAAAGACAAAATCGAGGTGAGATTCTGAAGTGACTTGTTCAAGTCAACCTTTGCTGGCACTAGCCCCTTTGAATACATCTTAACATATTCAGGCCCTGTGTAACATTGTAGTGGGCGCTACCTTCATTAGCCATTGTACTGTTGACCCTATTGAAATTGTCCATTCCTTCACTGCCTTAGAGCAGAGGCATTGTTATTGCAACAAACCTAGCATGTGTGATAAAACCTTCAACTTGCCCTAATATTTCAGAAACAAGCCTACCATGGCATCCTCTGCCTCAGCTGCAAGAAAAACTGGAGGAAATTCACAGCTGTACCCATCAGCAAGAGGTCTCATCTCTAAATAGTATCACCCTAATCTGTAAGACAACACAATGCAACAGTCACTATCTCAATGTGGGCAGAGGTTCCAGTATGCAGATTGCCAGTGTGTTCCTGGGGGGCTTACATTTCCCCATGTGAGACCTGGTTCTTTCTACCAATCTGAATGTTGCCCTTAACTTTAATTGTCCCCGAGTCCAACAGAAACTTACAGTACAGCAGGCAGTTCCTGTTTGCTTGAGGCGATCAGTTTAAAAGAATCAAGTGTGGTTTGTAATGGTTGGATTTTGTTGGCTTCAGCATAGTTCCTCCGGTAAACTGCAGTCATTTTATGCTGTGGTTGTAATCAACTCTGTATAACTCAGCAAAACTGACTTTGTTATGGTAAAAGTGACTCTGCCATATTTAAATGGCAGCGACTTGAAACAGGGGTGTCAAAATGAATTCTTACTTTCGCACAGTCTGCTGGTCAAAAGTGCCACACTCCAACAACTTCTAATGGGTTCTTCAGTGACTTCCTGAGGCCTTGTTTTTTGTATCGGCTATTGTCTATCGTGTTGGTTGTGATCCAGAAAGTCTGTTTTTTTACCTAAAGATTTATTGGTCTGTCATTGTGATGGATATTGCTAGGTAGGAAGTTGCTTGGAATTGTAGACTTTTGCTACATAGCTAATACTAAGACCCCTCTCCATGGAACTGCCAAGCCAAAAATTGCTAAGAGGAATTTGATGCAAAGCAAAAATAAATACAGAACCCATTACAAGCAAAATGGACTGCTTGGCGTAGAGACTGGTAACCAGGGGTAACCATGGTTTACTGCTTCTACAAATAGTTGCTCTGCCCAGCTGCTTCACGGAATGGGTCAAAGGTGAAGCAGTTCTGAGCTATACATTTCACTAAAGTGTGCATTCTGACTGTTTTCAATTTGGACAAAATTCAAAGGAAGATGGCTTTCTAAAAGAAACATTATAAAAGCAATGCATTTTCTCTGAAACTCAGAAAAAAATGCTGCATAAGTAATCTGCAATTAAAAAAAAATTTGTTTCTAAGCATCAAATTGATGACCTAGTACTTTTTCAAAAGTGACTTTCTGTGAGGTATACAGTTTGATAAATATTCCACTTTTGAAAGTTAAAGAGTTAGAGTGTCTTTATAGTATAAGCCTGTTGCTAAAGCAAAATTATAACTAATTAACAAATTCTTTCAAATGTATAATCACTGATTTCCAAAATATTTCTTTGAGTACCTCCTTTTGGTTGTAAATATTTTAAACAAAACAGATGTGGTATTCAGGCACACTCCTCCTCTGTTAAGTTCCTCGGAAAAAATGTTGATGTTCTCTCACTGATTGTCATTCTATCAAAGTTTTTATTCAGTCAGCTCAGTCCCTCCAGTCACAGCCAGTATTCCAAATATATCATTGTATTCCTAACGTATTTATAGTAAATTGATTGGGGCAATATAAAGTGACACTAGGTGTACTGATTTTTCTAGCAGGTCACAGTAACCTGCAATTCCTCACCACTTTCACGAAGAGACAAAGTCTTGCCAGAGAGTAAAAATTAGGTTTCTAGAAAATCGCATTTGAAGTTGGTCTCTGTTTCAAACACTTATTCCCAGTATTTAGCATTCCATTGCCGTAACCAATGCTACTTCATGAAAGAAGGGAAGTTAAATGACACAGCACTGCAAAATAATATTTATAGTAAATTAATTTTTTTTTTTTATACAAACACTCCTCTCCGTGACCTGTCCGTGAAAATGCTAAAATTTGTGTGACTTTTGTCTGTGTGCGAAAATGGCGTGTCCAGTACACATTTTTGCCATGGTGTTTGCCTGGTGCAAAATGGTTACATTTGTGTACATTTTTTGAATCATTTTGGCTCTTCCTGAAAACGGCAAAACAAGTTTTGACTGGTTTTGACCTGTAATGTTTTATCTATGGAAGACAACTTGTCTCTTTTTGTAAACAAAAAATGCAGTTCAGTTGCACTTTTCCCTATGCAGAGCATTGTGATTCGGCTGATTTGAGTAAAGTCGGTGAAACGGGTCACACCAAGTTGTAGGCATCACATAGCCTATTTGGGTTTGCAAAAATACAGAAATTTGAAAAATTCATGGTTTGAAGCCATTTTGACTCTTCGTGAAAACGATGAGGAATTCTTTGTAGTGTCGAAATTATCTTTTGGATAAGCTTTGGGCTAAAGCTGTAGCTGGAGATTTTGGTCTTAAAATGAACAAGGTACCTGTATTAACATTAACTTAAACAGTCATTAATAACAGGCTACCAAATCACGTGGATGATGTACCTTGTGGTCAAATTACATACTCATCTCCAACTTAATACTGTATCTTGTCTTACATTCCGCTGCCTCAGTGTGGTTACAAATTGTACCAGATCCGATGATTGGAGTTTTCAAATGATTTTCTTCTAAGGCCGGACATGCTTGCAGTTGTATAATGGATGACTCGGTTCATTTCTTGAAGTGATTCATTTGGTTTGAACCCCAACTAGATCTGCCTGACATTGCCATTACCTTTGTAGTCCAAATCTCCTGAGATCAAGAAGGCAGTATCTGGAAAAGTAAAGGGTACAGTCTGGACCTTTTTAGAATCAGGAGAATTTGTTGTTGATTTCTGGAAATTCTTAAAACTCTTTCACAAATTTTGGATGACATTTTCAAAAATGCTGTCAGTTTCTTAATGATTAATTCCCCAAAGAGTAGTTTTTGTCAGAAAGGGGAAGGCTCCTTCCCAGGGCCCACTTACAGGATTCTGATGACTGCTAATAAAGTGTAGTTGGGGTGGCAGAATGCAAAGGGCTGGAAAATTCTTCAGCAAAACTGGGATGTTGAAGGAAGCAACTGGGGATTGCTCATGATTATAGATGCAAAATACAGACGATGAAAAAAAGATCATACACACAAAAACCAGCATGGTGAAAATAGATGATGAAAGCATTGTAATTAAAGTATTTTTTTAAATCAATAATTGTCTTACCAGCCTAATGTTGTTATGTAACCTAAACGGGTCGATAGTTCAGCAACGCAACAGGCAAACTAAACCCTGATTTCACACCTCACCACTGATCATTTTAACTAGTCATGTGGGTATCATCAGTGGTCTATGGCCAACACTTCCACATGTACAACATATGTGCATATATGCATGTACATGGAATGCGTGTGCCTTGACCGTAGCAGTAAATTACCCACAATGCTTTGTGACATCTACATTCAGTAGCATGGTGAGAAGCTTTTCATGCTGAGCATGTCTGAGGATTTGAATCATTCATGTTTTATTCATTGTACAAAGTAGATATAAATTAGTTGCTGTGTGTACATAGAAAGTACTAAATATATTCGTTTAATATCTGTACAGAGTTGAAAATGGCGAGGGTTCCTTGGATGAAAAATTATGGTGTACATATGGAACTGTACATTTGTTTAGTACTACTGAAACATCTACCAAAGTTTATCTTGGATCTATTTTGCTTTCTGATGCTTTCATACATGTATTAATAGTTGAACATTATTTCTGTTTGGACATTTGCTTTGATATTGTGTGTTTTGATGCTGAATTTGTTTATAGTAGTTTCTTTTGATTCAGTAATGTGCATGTGTGCATAATATCAGTTTTTATTTTATTACCGTCCACCAAGAATATTAGAGTCTAAATGTTAATGTACAGATTTTTGTTGTTTGATCCAGGGTTTAAAACCTACAAAGTGATAGGTCAGTGTGGTTTTCTGGAGGGGGTGGGGAATAGGAGATATACCGTGGGAGGGGTAGGCTGAAGCTCTTCCCTAAAAAAGTGATATTAAATCAGTTATATGCTGCTAATAATAAGTAAATGAATGTTGGATATCATTCAGAAAACAAAGAAACAAACACTTTTGAGACCCAGTCAAATTACAGAATAATGAGCCAACACCTTTCCTTGCAACAGACTCAAAAAGCGCGTCCTCTTTGGTTCTTAGTGAGCTCTTCTTGTTGAGCTACTGCCCTGTATTTACATTTTGTTTTATGCTCAACTACACCTGTTTATTGGGCTGTGATTGTTTACGCAAGGAATCAGGTTTTTAGGAAATATGCATGGGTGCTTGAGTATCCTCAGAAAATATTGAAATCCATGATAAATTCTCTCATGTTTTAAGGCAGTGTAAAGATAATTGATGAACTTTGGCGTTCTGTGAGGGGAACCTCCTATCTGCTGCTGCACTGATAAAGTTTATCAGATTGACCATCTTCTGACATTTTTGCTGATTTGCATTCATGCTCTTTAATGATACATTTGTCTTTTGCACCCTGAAATATAAAATATATTATTGTTGTAGTGTACATGCACACATTGCATGTCATAAAATGACTTGATCACCTGTCAGAAGAACCACAAAGGGCTTTTATTTCCGTATTCTGAAATTTCTAATGGAAATGTGAAGAGTGGAAGTTAAGAGCAATTAGCCAACATTGTGAAAGTGAACATGTCTTACTTTGATACTCTCAAATGCAATAGTATTTGTGAACATGGCATATGTCAGTCAGTACACTTTTAAACTTCATGCTTTTTCGGTTAAGATGGTTTAAGTGTTCCCTGTAGGAATTAGTCTGTTAATCGTGCAAGCCATATCCTAAGAAATTTGTTTGCTTTTCATAAAGATCAACCAATAAAATACTGAGAAAATGTAACTTGAAATCTTCTGTTGTCTTGGATGTAATCTTAGACTTGAATGGTCACTCTGTAAAAACTCAGTTTTGAAGGAAAAAGTTTGATTTTCCAACTGATAAATATGGGCTAAAATGTTGACACTTTTTAATACAAACAAGTGTATGACACACAAGAAGAGCTGTTGAACGCAGTCTTTGAAAGTGCTCTAATTTAAAATTTGCGTACATTCAATGGTTGTGTTAAACAGAACTACATGTACCCTTTCTCAGCCGTGACCCTAACGTACGTGTTCCCTGTTCCATTACTCACAGGGTGCAGTTCACTAATTAAAACAGTGTGAAATCAGCATTGTTCAGGGGGCAATAACATGCAAGCCAACATGCCGGGGTTTCTCAAACAAAAATTAAATTGTTATTTTGTCGGTTATCTTTCAGTTTCTTTTCAATTTTGGCGGGGTTAACCAATTACATTTTTAATTATTCACACCATCACACAAAACAAAATCAACCCCAAAGGTCAAAGTTCGTAAGTCTGCACTCAGTCATTTTTCAAATGGCATCTCTCTACTTTCTTGGGCCCTTAGGACCTTTTTTCAACCGTATTTTTTATCCATTCTGCCGTCGGATCGCAAAGCCCAAAGAACCAGCGAGTTGATATCCTGGCAAAGATTTACACAATCTCACTATGGGGGGAAGGGCAATTAATCTCTTTTTTTCGAAAGAAATTGTGGGGCACTTTTCATGCTACCATGGAGGTAGGAAACCTACCTCCATGATGCTACTGAGCTCGGCTGAAATTAGTGCTCGCCCCAGAGCATTGGGGTTCGTCGTCCGTGGGAGAGCACGGCGGATGACAAACCCCACAGCAAGCCCTGGGGTACTGTCCATGTCTTCTTTATAATGCCAACACCTATTCCGTGGGAATTAGCCCCGCCCACACTCACAACATGCGCGTTGCATACATGCATAGCCATCTTTGGCCGACTTTGCAACTTCGGACGTTTCCATCCTCAGGTTAGTGATGAACTGTTACTGCTTTATAATACGAATGAGTTTCGGTTAAACCTTGAGGGACGAGGTTGATCTAGTCAGATTTTCAAGTCTGACTTTGAATGGGCATTTTTGTCTACAGCTACGGATAGTCACAATATAAATTCAATGGCAGTAGGAAGAAGCCGTAGTCGAAAGCTGCACATTGCTGCCTTGCATGTGTTTGCTTGCTCGAACCGTGCGCGAAGTGAGTGGCACAGTAAACGTAAACAACGTGAGTTTCGTTGTCGCCTGCTTACCTTTAGACTTTGTCTGAAAAGGTTGACTCTAATGGAAGACAGTGATTGACCCTTATAGAAATTATGGCTTCACCCAACGTGACCAGAGCCACCACTTCTACAACCACACTTTCTACCTCAGCAAGCTCGACAACATGTACGACGAGCCCCCCCACAACTAAAGCACGTAAATCTACAACAACGAGCGATACAAACACCGAACATTCTTATTCATCGAGCATAGCAAATCTGGAATCCCTCTCCTCGAAGGAAAAGCGTTTCCATTTCTTGAAAATCAAATGCGATAGAATACGGCATTTTATCTTGCAGGGCCGGGCACCTCCTGGGTTAAGCAGGGGTGAGATGAGAAACCTCAGAAACCAAGCCAAAGTGCACATCTTAGATCGAGCGAGTGAGTAAAACCAGCAAACTCACCTAACCTACCCGTAACTGTGCCAAATCTATGGCCTCTAGATTTTTGTTTGGCAGTCATGGCAGTGGACATGGTGGATACTGTAGGCTCAAGGTCCCATGGGTGGAATAATTGTTTATTTTTGCTGTCGCTTTGCGTTACAACTGGGTAGTGTCTTACAAGTTGCATGCAGTTTCCAGAAGTACATGAAGTGTATGTAGTAGGCCTATGATATCACTCAGTTGATCCTGTGTGAAATTTCCAACTCAGCTCACTTCCATTTTTTTCAAAACAATCTGCCGTAGGCCTAACCCCAAATCAGAAATTATCAGCAAATTATGAATGCAATGTTGGCCTACATGTATGCAATAACTAAGGTTTGGGCATTTGTAAGAGCTTAGTCTGAGTTACAACAGAGACTCTACGAATTGACCCTTTTAATATTTGGATATGGTTGGGCAATGCATAGACAAGTAAGAACAAACGTGGACAGAACTAACGTTGAGTGATCACGTTAGTTACCGCCATGCACAGATTGATTGATCATCATGATTGTGCCCAATACACTGTAGATATTCATGAAACCAATGCCATAGCCAGTGCAGGGGGAGGGAAGGTTGTTCCTCTCTGAGCAGACTGAGCCTCATACAAATAGTTTGAGGAGCATTGGACTCTGGACTTGTCCCTGATATTGCTTTTGGTTTTGGTTTAGTAGCATGGTGACTGATCATGGGCAGTGAGCATTTGGGGAGAAATTTTACCATGACAGTTCTTCATCTGGCTCCATTGTCATTTTGCAAAATAAAATTCAGATCTAAGGTTATTTCAATTTCAGACATTCTTTCCCTTTAAGAAAAAGGAAAGAGTTTCATATACCGACTCCACTTGACACCCTGTGCACAAACCCTATGGTACTGGTCTGAAAAAAGTGTTTTTTCTGTAAACATTCCAGAGATGGTGGTCGCTATGCAAAAGCTTGCCTCGAATCACGAGGTATAGCAACAGTATCTTTAGTCTTGTGAATTCAAATTGTTATGTTTATTTGCAGTGAGATAACTCAGTGCACCAGATTTTATTCAAATTTTACTCGCAAATGGCTTATTGAGAGATGTTTCCAACACACTAACAATCAGCAATCCAGTATTTCCTTCACTCAGAGGAAACGTTATATTACACTGGAGGCAAAGTGGACATCAAGAAGCGAGTTGTGACAGATATGGAGGAAGTAAACGACATCATGAAACACTGTCACACCAATAACCCGGCAGGTGGTCACAGTGGCATCAATGGCACACTGACCAAAATATCACAACACTACACGTGGAATGGCATGAAAGAAGATGTCTCCAACTTTGTAAGTGAGCTGTATCAACCCATTGACCTTAACCCTCTGAGATCCTTCAAAATCTACCAGGATGTTTTTGTGGGACTTTGGAGGATCTGGAAGGTACCGGTAGAAAGAGAAGCACGTTGTACATTTTTCAAGGAATGTGCAGTTAGTTCGCAGCGCAGTGAAGAATTGTGTAGGATTCACATTATAGTATGTTAGTTTGATAACATTAAATTTGAAATTCTTTATCTCCAATATCTCAAAATTGTATTTTTAAACATTCGTTTGTGTTCCATAGTATAGATTTTTCAAAAGCACAAATGCCGCTGGAACTCCCAAACCTGAAGAAATCTGGTGACTAAGAAATTTCAGTTCAAGATCCAGGAAGAAAAAGCTCAGATATGTGTAGAGCCATGTACATGTATTTTAAGCCAAGTACATGATTTCATCTGCTGTCTTACATGATGTACAATGTACTGGGTTAGATTGAAACCTGGGTTTTGTTGGCTTGGATAATTTTAGGAAAGTGTCACCACACCACTTTTTCTCCCCCTCATTTCCTACTGGAAGGATAAATTCAATATTCTGGCTGTCTTTGTCTTCAAGTTAAGAACCTAATGCTATCACAAGTGTACTTCCCAGAGTTGAGACCATCCTATTAGCGCAGCTTTACTGTTTCCTAAAGAAGCAACAAATTGTTGAATGTGAGGCCTTGATTTGGACTTTGGAGAACATACATGTACCTGTACGTGTTTTTTCTATTTTGCCCCAGTCGTGAATATTTGAAACCGAACTCTAAGTCTAAAACGAGACCGAGCCAAGAGATGGAAATGGGCCTTTGACTACCAGCTTAATTCTCTCAGTTTATAATCTCTTATTATTCCTCCCAATATACGTTTGTGTCTTCCACAGGTCAGTTCTTGTGAGCGTTGCAAAGGAGGAGACCGGGCTAAGAACAGGGCTCCCCTGGCCAAGACGATGAAGCTGAAATTGACTCAGGCCCTTGAAGTTGTGGGAATGAGTTTCATAGGTATCAGAGCAGTTTCTTGCAAGTGTTTTCCACCACTGCAAAAATATGAACATGTATTAGTGGTTTTGGGAGTATGCTGCTTTTTGTCAACCCCAACCCTATTGAAATCTAGGTCTATTGAAATCCACCTGGCGGTTTGGAGGATTTTTCAGGATTGAGGAAGGTAAAGCCCTGCCACTATTACTTCAATCACAGTTCATTGAACCCCAAAAGTTGAAGATTTTTAGGATTGAGAATTACTAACAAAAAATTCCCATGGCTCATGTTATTTTTAATTTTGATAAGTTTGAAAATGTGAATTGCTCTTGAAAATAGCTGGAAGTTGATAGTTTACTGAGCAAGAATCAAGTATTTACTTTACAGGACTTGAAAAATGAAAAAAGAAATTTTCACCAACTCATCAGTCTTTCCATAACCAAAAAGTTAGATTGCACCAAAGTTGGTTCAGATGTTGGGAACATATTTATCCATCCTTCCACTGCCTCCTTTGTAGATTAGGTCAAAGCAGTTGAGGTAATCAGAAGGATTTACGAACTGAATATCAACTGATTTTGTTTCATTATCGTCAGGTCCCCTTCCAGCATCAAACGAAGGCTGCAAGTTTGTCCTAGCTTTCACTGACTACTACACCAAGTTTGTGGACTTCTTCCCTCTGAAGACCAAATCAATTACAGGTGTGACATGGTGCATAAAAACTTACATCTACAGATGGGGAACACCAAAAAGTTTACTGCTCAGCCAAGACGAAGATTATATCACACAGGTTAGACATTTCTCTTGTGCTTTTCAATTAGAGGTAGCCAGCAATTTTTAATGAGAGGTATCCATAATGCCTTGTGGGTAATTCCTGAAATTAGGGGTCCAAAAGTGGGACATTTTTGTGTCCCTGTTACATCTGACCTTTGTCATTTGACATGGAAATGTCACCGGAATTTTATATAACAGGTTTTGCCCTTACCCAACGTATATTAAAAAATACATCTTGAAAATAGTTCGCAGTACCCGCTGCTTCATTTGACTCGGACCAGCCAGCCCACC